ATATCATTTCACTTCATCTAACCAATGCTCTCTTTTCCATAATTACACTCACACAGTTACATTACATTGACTCCTGGAAGCTGCCCAAGACGATTAGGTGGCCACAGTGGAGCAGTTTGGGGTTCAAGGCATTGCTCAATGGCACCTCAGTGGTGGTAATTAGAGGCAATCGCTACTTTTTCACTTTCTCAGGCATTGCTTTACTGTAATGCCTGCTATGGTACATTTGTGGTACATGTGATATATATTTTAACAGTATATGTTATTCACTGCAAGCAGGCAGCGGACATACGGCTGCATCTGCTCTTATCTTGGTAATGGTCGCCTTGCTATGTTCACTGACTTGGTCTTTAATAGTGGGACAAGGGGACAGTCATCTGGCACGTGTAACGGGAGTCAGCATCAGCGAATGAAAAGGCCATCTGAGGGGAATTAGCATATTGGCATTAGGCCTGGAGACAGAGAGAAGCTGTCAGGGGAGAGAGTCCTAACGACAGGTCACCCTGGACCACCGCACATTACTATAACTCTTCCTCTCTGTCTTTTCTCCGTAACATATCCCATTCTCTTTCTCCAATTTTACTTTTTCCCTCTCTCTTTTTTACTTTTTACTTTCAGCCTTCTCTGACCCTCTGTTGTTCCTTAAAATGTAGCTCACCTGATCCTGCCAGCCATGGAGGATGATACTGTCTCTTTGAATGTTTTTTCTCTTATTTCTTCCCCACCATTTGTTTCTGTTTTGTTCCACTCTTTTCCACCTCTTCTCTGTAACAGTTACCCCTCTCTTTACCTTCCACCATCCATTTTTCTCTGGCAGTGTCCCTCCCTCTCTCTCCCTCTTTCTCCTTAATAATAATTAAACAATGATTCACTCATCTGGGGTCAAATTGTATATGCTGAAGTGTATTGTCTCTGCGCTGTCCGCAAAGTAAGGTCTTCTGACGTAGCTCACATGATCTTCAAACTGCCATCAATCTTTATTGGCCCAAATTATTACACCTTATTAGCCATTATTACATTTTATCATTGATTCAAAACAGGTCAATGGTTCAGCCATTCTGGCCTCCTTCCCAATGTTTCTCCTCCCCGACTTCCCCACTTTCTCCTCAGACAAAGAAGTTCTCTGGCCAAAAAACTTCAGCAATTTTATAAGAGGTTAAGTGCTTTGGAAGAGAATGAGTGCCCACATAGGCTCATTTGACTCCTCAATAATAGAGATTAAAGTGAATTGGAAATTAACAAAGTGTATAATCAGCTCTTCCCCTGCTCAAAGTTTGTACTTGGAATTTCAAATCTCATCACACAATGTCAAAACAACATAATAATTGTCAGTGTTACAGAGAAAACCTTATAACAAAGGTTTGGCTTACTAAAGCTGCCTCGGATCTAGGCAGGACCTGTTTGGTTACATGAAGGTGCAAAGTGAAAATGTGAAATGTAATCAGACATTTTCTCTTAGAGCCCCCACCAAAACTGGTCAATTCAGGCTAACAAAATCAGTGATTGTTCAGACACATCTATTTAACCCTATGTGCAATCTAGGGATTTTAAAATGTACTTTTCATTGTACCTAATTCATTTTCAAATGTGTGTGCTCAAACTTTTGGAACAATCTAAAACAGTTTGAATACTTTAAAATATATATAAAAGCTTTACATAATTAAAGTTAAAAGTTAATTTAACTGTTTGTCTCAAACTATATCTACTGTAGTGAAACATTTACTGCTGGAACCTTTTTATTGTTCAGTGTTATTCACTTGTCCTTCTGTATTTCTCTGGGGAGGCACGTTAAGAAGTATTTTCAAACTGGCAATTTAGCAGCATAGAAAGCATGAAACTGATTTATCCTTTGAAATTGGCGCTGGAGATGCTTTAAACAAAGACTAACTGCATTGAATCAGCAAAGAAGTGTCTGACTGATCTTTGGTCATCATGCTCCTTGAGGTCTTTCCTGTCCCATTCACTACACTGAACTGAATCACCACGCACACGTAGTAACAAAGAGTAATTCCTCTTACTGAGAAAGTTTGAAAGAGTCAGCTTCCATGAAAACAGAGTTGAAGTTTCTATTGTACCTTCTTTGTGATGAAGGAAGGGTAAAAGGTCACTTTTAGCTCTGGGCAGCTGTTTAGTGGGATGAAGTTACAGCCTCCAGTGGGGAGAGAGACGTAATGCATCAATTATAATGTACGCAAATGCAGAGGTGAAGTGTGGTTTTTAACAAAGTGGCTGTTTTTGCTTTGGGTCCTTATTGGTTTAAAACTCGGATGATAACCAGAAGCTGCTGGTTCATCCATGCAGCAGCCAGCATTAAGCAAAAGCCACAAGTCAGTTGGCCTGCTTATTTATGGTTGCTCTAAATAATTGGAATAATGCTTCAACTGTAAATTTGGGTTTGAAGAAATGTTTTCATGATGCATCAAAGTGTATGTACATAGCCTTTAAAGTTGTTTTGGTACATTTTTTTCATGTATGCGGGTAGCCTAAAGAAAAGAGGGAGATTTTAGTTTAGTTTTTTAAGAAATTGTTTGTTTGAGTGTAGCTCTAAAGTGAGAACGTGTTAAATTAAAGAGCAAATCACACAGATTCACTCTACGTCAGCTGAATTTTGACCAGTGTATTAGTGTTTTTCAAAAGCTGGGAATGAAATTAAACATGTTCCAATAAAATAGATTACTGTGAAGAGGAAATCACTCACCTAAGTTTCTGAGTTTGAGTCATACAAAAGTCCTCGCAATGCAAAGTTAGGCTGAATAAAATACAAAGGGTATATTCAATAAATAATAGAATGAATTATTACTTAATGTAATGTAAAGCTCCAGAACAAAAAGGTTTTAACACTAATGCACTGGACAGCGATAGAGCATTTGGCAACAATGTTCTGTTCTCTCGTTAGCGTTAATTGCAGCTTTGACAGCGGTTAAAGGCAAGGTCCTCCTCTGACTCCCAGTCATTTATCTCTGCATTACAGAGAGCACTCTGGGTTTTTATTGGTGTAATAAAGTCGATCTTCACTACCACAAAAAGCCTCCTGACCCCTGCGTGCTCCAGAGGCCCCTGACTCCTCCCAAATGGATTCATCATCTTTATATTCATTTTCTGTCACGTTCACGCACACACACTGCATGCAAGCAGGTGAGCGCACAGACAGGGATGTTGTTTCTCACTTAATTACTGTTTTATTAGAACAATGAGAAACAATAATTTCAATAAGCAAGGGACATGTGTTGTGAGTGTGTTTTTGTGTGTTCTTGTCTGTGTGGACTAATAAAAACTAATTTTACCATGTGATTTCCATTTAATTTATAATAATTTTATAGATGTTATAATCCAAATAATGCTACACAAAAATATGAAGTAGTTCCCACTGATGTCTTAACTGAGACATATGAAAGTTTGAGGTTGCCCAACAGTAAATCTGATCCATGTACGCCCTCTTGTGGTTGAGCAATCTGACCTCATCCCTGCACAAGATGCCGGTGTTTGACAACATGAAAAACTATACAGACAATTTCAGATGACCAAAGAACACTGCCTTATGGACTAGTTGATACATTTCCAGAGGGTCATGGAGAGTCCAAAAGGTGAATATAATCAAGACAAAAGCTTGAATAGAATGGAAACCACGGAATGAATATGGGACATCATCCAAGGAGAAGAGAGTCATATCATGGCAGAGTAGCTGGGGAAATGTTCATTCAATGTAAAAATCTTTGATTCTAAATGTGGGATAATATTCTCTGTGTTCAGTAATTCATATGTTGAGTTGGCATTTACTGTTATGAGTGTATTAAAATCAATAAAGGCAGTCTAAATGGTCCCCATAGTTACCTTTCCTTAAGCTGAGTGTCTGCCGTGTCTGCATCTGTCATGTTTGAAACTATAAAAAATAGATTTGGTCAACTGACTATAAACAGCATTGGTCTCATTGATATTTTCCTTTTAAGGATCAATGCAAATCGTAAAATGTTCCCTCCATTATGTGAAAATAAGTGTAAGATTTTTAAAAACTGATGTGTTTATCAACATCCGTTCATATTTTGACTATTATTACTATTATTGTGTAATTGCTTTAAAATAGCAGTTAATTTAGTTTAAGAATACATACTGACTCAGAGATGCCTAGTACACATCAGGTCAGTTATGTGTCTGGACTACCAGCTGGTTAAAGGTCAGAGGGTCTTTGAGGTGGTGGGTGCTCTCTGTAGGCCTGGGATGCTTGTGTCTTTGAATTGCTTTGAACAAGAGGTCAGCTCTCTCAAAAGCAGATCATACTTATGTCATCATGACCCCGATAACACACGTGTGTTCTAATCTGAATTTCATTCTATCTAACACTATACTAGCGTTCAGTACAGTTAGCCTCACCCTTACTTGGGTTGCCTGTTTTTCCTGAGAGTGCGGGATCATACATAATCTTAAGAATATCAAAACTCAAGATATGTTAAATATTGCCCCTCAGATGTAGAAATGCATTTGATGTAGTATTAAAGTTATCATTTGTATAAATTTAAATTGCATTTTAAATGTGTATGCTACATCTTGGTTACAGCATGGTAATGGTAATGGAAATTATATTTATTTCGAATTTAGGTAAAAAGAACATCCGACAAGAAAATGAAATAACACAATAATAAATTAATTCACAATAGTTACAGCCAAAGACTTCTTAAACTCTTGTCAGTGTCCATTACATATTCGAAAAGGAGTGGGAAGATGAAAAAAAAAAGTATTTTATCCCACCCCCTATTCACAAATCAAAAGCTTACAAGTAATCGACCCGCGTTCCAAATATGTACACATCTACTTTGTTCTACCTAAAAACAATTCAAAATGTACATCAATTATTTAAACAAGAAATTAAAAAAATATATAATAGGAAAGAATAAATTTCAGCAACTCAGAAAAAAATGAACACATATTTAACACTTTGTGACTGATGGCTTCCTTTATTTAGAGTACAATAGAAAGACATCACATCCTTACCAACTATATGCACACTGATGCACCTGATTCTGATTGCCACCCACCCAGTCTCCAACAGACACTGAGTGACTCGATACACTGTGTCGGTTAGGTGTGTTATTGTGTGTATGTGCGTATACAGCTGGTTTTCTGACGCAGGCGGGGGCGGCAGACCAGTGATGCAGAGCCTCGCACTCACCTTTAAAATCTGTCATTGGCTCATACTCATCCAGATTTCTTCAGTGGTGGACACATCTCAGCAGGTGAGAAGAAAATATTTGTCATTTCATCATTTGAAATAAACTTTAAATTCCTTGTTAGTTCTGAAAAGTATCTTTTGTTTAATACGTTGTTTGATTGAGTCACCTTAAATAACATTTTTTATTCTTGTTGCCAAAGGGAAAAAGTTGGGATTTGTGTACAAAGACTTACACCGACATCATAATAAATCATCAGAAAATAACTATGTGGGTCCTTGGGAAGATCAGGGAGAGCATGGACAGCATTCCTTTAGAGCTGAGTCGTTACATGGGAAAGTGTGAGGAGGATATCTTTCTCTCTCCTAAGGCGAGTCTCTCTAACAATCTGCACAACAACATCCTCACCCCAGACAAGATCCCAGAGTTCTGCCTGCCGCCGCGGCTTTGCAAGAGAAGCCAGCTGCTGGAAGCTGAGAAAACAGCACCTCACCTGCACGGTCAGAACCAGATACCCAAGAGTAGCACTTCTTCAGACACAACACATGTAAAGGCAAATGATGTTAAGACGAAGAATGGTGATGCATCAGTGGCTTGCAAGGCTATAAAGAAACCTTTGCCATTTTCAGCAGAGGGGTATGGCCTGACTGGGATATATGAGAGCCCCAACACTCGAAGGAAAGAGTCTTTGTTCCACTCAAAGCGCCCTGTTTACATGTTTGATAGAAGCATTGCAACTTCAGCACCCAGGCTGGCAAAGGAGACAAAAGTGCCCAAGAAAACCTTATCTGGGATTCTCCCTCCATTTTTATGCAAGAGCCTGTCAGAGACAGGAAGCACAGAAAGTGAAACACCTTCTTCCAGTGACACCTCTCCCCTCAGTTCCCCTTATAGTGCTAAATCTTCCCTTTACATCCCATCAGACAGTGGCCGTCTTAAAGGGTCAACGTCGTGTCCTTCGTTAATTGACAGCAGGGAGGAGAGAGAGAGGTGGAAGAGTTTAAGTTCAACAACATCTCCCAGTAGCCCTCCAAGCTTAGAGGGAAGCTCACTCACCTTAGCCCCACCTGCCCTGTTCCCACTGGATGTTCTGCAGTGTCAAGAGAGACTTCAGCGTGAGCAAGTCCTCCCTTTGCAGGGCCGTGGTAAAGTGCGCCTCGTCATTGAGCAAACCACATTCTCCACCAACACATTCTCATCCCTGTCTACAGTGAGAGTCCGTGTGGTGTCTGTGGAAGGCCTATGGGATGGTACTGACCGACGAACCCAGAACTGTGCAGTGCATCTGTGTCTGACCCCGGGGAAGATGCAGCAACAGGAGAGCGCCACCATCCGGAACTGCTGCAACCCTGTGTTTAATGAAGATTTCTTCTTTACAGAACTCAGTAGAGAGGATCTGCTGGAACTGCAGCTCAGGTTAAAAGTGGTGGGTAAACCTGCAGCTGGAACACTGAGGAGAGGGACAGTAATTGGAGGGATCAGCCAACCACTGTCTCAGTTACTCTTTCTTAAAAATGGGTAGAAGAGAAACTCAGCAATAAAATGATTAAACTGCATTACATTGATTTCTTTCACAGGGCATATTTTCAAATAAATTGTATATAACATTTACTGAATTTATAGTTAAAATTATAACTATCTCTCCTGCTGGTTGCATTCAATGTTGACAACTTCTTAAAATTTTGACTAACAATTTCTCATAAACAAATATTTTGGAACATAAAGAATCTGAATGAAGACCTAGGCTATATGTACGTGTGTTTATATGTAAAACATTATTGGTCTACAACCCGCTAGTATATATTAACAGTGCTCAATATTTACATTTACATTTACTCATTTGGCAGATGCTTTTATCCAAAGCGACTTACATTTGATTTTATATTCTTATATGAACATATTCACCCTAACAACTTCAAAACAAACAAATATAAATCAATGAATGCAGGTTTAAGATAGTCAAAGATGTAGTTTTTGGGAAACACATTTTTTCTTTAGTGAACTCTTTAATTCTGTTTTGATATAAAAAAGTGTAGTCAAGCTTTTCCTCAGTACCTTGCAATGCTTTTATAATACTTGTAACAATAATAATAATTTTATAGAGGTTTGTCAAAGCCCATGTGGTGCTGGTGTGTAACGTAAAAACAATTATTTATTTTCTTGGTCCAGATATTGTTACACTTTTTTGACTTACATGCTAGAAATGTTAAATCCAATGTAAAATATTTTTAGACATATGTTTGAAATGTAAAGTTTGAGCTCTACTCTATGTGAAATCACTTGTTCTGTCCGGCTTAGAAACATTGCAGGAATTAGTTATCTATGCTTTTAATATGTCATGTCTGGACTACAATAATGCCAACTTGTTTTAACTGGCCCAGCAGTCTGTTGTGATTGTGCCCTGACTCCTGCAATGTATTTTAAAAAGAATTTTGAAAAGTGTTTGATTTGGCTTGATAACTTGATCTCATAAATTTCTAGTGTCTTTTTTTATTTCCTGTTTTTCTTCACTCCCTTCTGTAAAGCACTTACAAGTACGCCTACTTATTTGAAAACTGCTAGAAAAATACTAAATCGTGTCAATGTACTGTTTCATTAATGAGTCATTAAAATAAATAGTAAAACAAATACATTTTAATTTGTGAATGTTATTTTGCCAATCTAATTATTAAAGATGTTACATCAGTTATAAAATTATTCCACAACTTACTTACCCTGCTCTTTCGCAGTGTTGCACAAGGTGTTGCACCCACCAGTGGATTAATTTTGCCTGAAGTAACCTATCGTGTAATAGGTACGGAATGACGTCAAAGCACGGTTCCGGCACCCAACGCAGGACGTCCTAATCTGACGTTGAGGCAGTCGAGCTCACAGGATGTAAACATGGTGAAGGATAGATGAAAGAAACGCCAAAATGGTTTTCGAAAGCTTAGTGGTAGATGTCCTCAACCGATTTTTAGGGGACTACGTTGTGAACCTTGACTGCTCACAGCTAAAGCTCGGCATATGGGGAGGTAATTGAACTTGTGTTTGTCATTGCAGGGGAGCACCTCGCTCCATGCTAGCTAGCTAATGCTAACGTTAGCCACAAGTCGTGTGACAGAACCTCCCACAGCTGTCAGTGTCCGTTTATCTGTCCCGAAATCTAGTTTCTAGTTAATTGATTTATCAGCATTGTTAATTTCTGACTCTTACAATGACCTTATATGTTAACAAACCTTAGCTGCAAGGCTGTTTGCTCAGTGCAATTAATGGGAGAAGCGAGCACTTCAGGGTCACACCCTTTCACACAGCCAGGTTATTTTGCTACTGTGTTTCATACTGAGTCCTTTTTACTAGCTCTACCAGAAAGCCTGATCCTCACAGCTCTGTAAGCTTTCCAGGCAAATGAGAGGATGAGAAGAGAGGTTTCAGAGGCACTGCTAAACATGTAAAAAGATTTAGTTTACAACTAACTAAAATACAGTGTCAAATCCTTTGTTTTACCAAACCTCTCATGTATGGCTTTAATAATAAATGTGCCTTATTGCCTGAGTGTTGTATTACGTCAGTAGTGGGTCCAAAGTCCACCTCTTTAGATTGGACTGTTCCTATGAGCCTCACAACACTAATCTATTTGGCTCATCAATATGTTCATAATAACACTCAGTAAACATATATTCCTTTCGTCACAGGTGATGCTGTTCTTAGAAATCTTGAAATAAAGGAAAATGCCTTGGTAAGTTGCAAACAAATGCTTAAGTAAGCAAAATTTGTCTGTCATTTCATTCTGACCTTCATGATGGATATGTTTTATAATACTTGACCGTTCTTTTGTTGCAGAGTCAACTTGACATTCCTTTTAAAGTGAGAGCCGGTCATATAGGTGAGAGTGTAGTTACGATCCTCATCTGCCACCTTTCCTTTGGTACAGAGGAAGATTTTCTCACTTTGTGTTTCTGTTAAAAGGTCAGCTGCAGCTAAGGATTCCATGGAAGAACCTCTACACCCAGTCAGTAGAGGCGACACTGGATGGTGTCTATCTGCTCATAGTCCCCACAGCAAGTAAGATCACCATCTATGTCCAATTAAATACATAAAAAATATATGACTTGCGTACTAATAGACACATTGTAGTGTATACTGTCAATCCCCACCATTTCAGTAGACACATGCAGTGTTTGAAGGATATTCACCTGTTGCATATCAGGTTAAAATCATATCCCAGACTCCTCATTTTATATAGTCAATATTTTAAATAACACATTAAAACACCTTTGCAATTTAACGACATGTATTGTAGTGAACAACGATATCCTAAATAATTTAAAATATAACTAATACCAAGTTCAGTCTAATGAATAATCTGTGTGATTAGTGGACAGAGCCAAGTGTAGCACAGATGTCTCTCTCTCGCTTATTTATGACCCTAAAGTACTTGTCTAGATAAACAGGAAACTCAAGCTTAACCTTCTGTACATTTCATTGTTTTGGTGTGGAGACAGTCATTTTCTTGATCCCATTCTTTCCAGGTATAAAGTATGATGCAGAAAAGGAGGAGAAGCAGCTACAGGAGGCTCGTCAGAGGGAACTACAGCGGATAGAGGAAACAAAGCTGAAGGCTGCAGAGCAAGGTCAGGGTTCAGCTTTGAAGGGGACTGTGTGTGTGGTGTGTGTAGGTGAGAGTGAGTCTAGCAGCTGTAAGAGTATCTGCGTAAAGCCAGGTATTTTTGCTTCCTAGTAAATTTTCAACAGGTTTCAGTGACATTCTCTGGCCAACCTGTAAGAGAGAATATGCGGTGATGCAGTATCAAGTGATGACACTCACTGTTGGGTTGGGTTTAAAGCCATGTGGTCATGGTTTGTCTGGTTGCGAGTTCCTGTGTTGTTTCTGGAGCAGCCAGCAGTTTTTAACACTTTTCTGTGGTTTAGCACTGCCTAGCCAAAACCCACTGACCCAAGCCGCGTTGTGTGAGCGTCTTGCCAACATGTGTATCGTACTGAATACTAAGAACCGTATGAATAGATCACCAGCTAACAGTTTTTCAGGTCCTCTAGTGGTCAAGAATGCTACAGCTTTATTTTATTAGCCTTTTTATTAGCTTTAACAGCTAGAACTATAGATATATGCAATAAGATAAAATATTTCCTCCTTGATATTTGACTCATGACACTGTTTCAGTGCCATTTACTGTTCAACTATAAAGACTATATCTTCCTTCCAAGCATTCAAATTTAGAGAGAGCAAATTCAAATTCAGATAGGATATTTCAGGATCAGCGCTACACTAGCATGTAGGTGTGGTACTCACACTGCATTGTAAGGCTAAGTCCAATGTTACTAATAAAGCTAAAGTGCATTTAGTGCTTAATAACAAATTAAAATATGCAAGGTTTTTATGTTTCATGACAAATCCTGAATAAAGATGGTCTAGATGTAACTTAGTCTAATTGTTAGTCTTGCTCTCAGTCAAAATAATATTTGACTAAAAGATGACACCAATTTATGGTGAGATGGTGTGTTGTATTTAAAAGCAATGATAGAAAGGTTTAAACAAAGAAGACAGACATGCTGTTACTGAATGATAGTAGGGGTATGTGTAAGGTCCTTCAAACCCTCCCTTTGTTATGCAGGAGCAAGAATTCAAATAATTGTTCCTAAAACAAAGCTTCAGGAAAGCTGCAGGACCAGATCAGTTCTCATATTCATCATCATTCATTTTTGTTTGTGTATGACAGAGAACCCTAATTTGGAAAAGCAGGACACCTTTGTGGAGAAACTTGTCACTCAGGTCATCAAAAACTTGCAGGTCAAGATCTCTAACATTCACGTACGCTATGAAGATGATGTAAGTATTCAAGCTGAGCTACCTTTGTGGTGTATGCATGTATAGCATAGCTCAAATTCAAATGAACTCACATTTGTGCTTGTAAAATAAGCAGTACAATGATGGCTCATGCAGAGTAAATATAGTCTTAACCAGTCTATAGGCTTAGCTCTTATTTCTCATGTGTTTTCCACAGGTCACTAATCCAGACTCTCCTTTGTCATTCGGAGTGTCACTTAAAAACCTCAGTCTTCAGGTAATGTGTTGTAATGTTACTCCTGGTAGATTATATCCTATATTAATTTCAGCAATTAAGGTGTTTTAGGAATGAATACATGAAAATACATAATTATATATGTAATCTCATTAAGGCCCCCGTAAACTAAACTCAGATTCATTCTCAACACTGCTCAACTGAGTATAGTTTTTTTTTTTTTTTGTCTTCCATTTTATGATTGCTTTTGTATAACTGTATATTGTCTGCTACGTAGCAGAAGACAGTTACAAACTTAATTTTACTTTACAACCTGTTGTAATGTGACAAATAAACCTTCCTTCTACCTTCTACCTCATTGCTTATTTGACCTTACAGACAGCTGACAAGAACTGGAAACCCAGTCTATTAGATGAAAATTCCAGGCTTTTCTTCAAGGTAAGAAATCCTGTACTTTACAGCCTATACATATATATTTTATTCTATCAAATGCATCCTGTGTGACACTGCATGTTTTTTTGAAAATGCATTTGATTCTTTTGTCCCTTCCGAGAATCTCAAAGTTAAATTAAACTGACACTGAACTGGTTTAGGCAATTGAAACAACTTGGTTTGTTCCTGTGAAATGGGTTTGTCAGCAGTTGTTCAAGGAACCAGTCTTGTTTCCTCATAGCTTGAGTTTGGGCTCTGATCCAAACTGTAGTAATTTGTGTACACTGTCAGCTATGTTATGTCCTCATGGCAAACATCTGCAGTACTCTAATTGCTATGTGTTTTCCTTCTTCTCAGTTGGTTCAACTAGACAGCCTGTTTGCCTACTGGAATGTCAACTCAGTACTCTTCTCCAATCACAATGCAGATGAGGCCTTGGTGAGTCACCCTAATATTGCTGTGGTGCATTTTGTCTCCACCCGCCTGGATTTAGCCATGCCATTGTCTGTCTTATTCTGCTTTATAGAGGCTGAAGACACAACCTCATTATTGTGCGCACACAGAACAATCTTTGACAGCCAGTTTTCACTTTCGGACAGCAGAACAGTTTCAAAGTTACT